ATTAAGCTGCCCTAGAAAAAAAGATACATCTGTCTTGCCTGCCCCATGCAGCACATTCTTGTTACAATGAATTAGATCATAACATGTCTTCGATTTGCTACATTTTACTCTCCTAAAATAGATTTGGGATGTGACCCAGTGCTTTGATGAGATCTGGGACACACATTTGCAAATTGTCATTGGTGTGTCATTTAGAAAAAATCTAGTCTCAGAAGTTCTAGGCCTTTTTTGAGAGTTGGGCTCATCACGCTCATTGCTATAGACCTTCCTTCTTCTACTACATGTTATTAATTTAAACCAGAATCTGTGAGCAGAGAAAGAAGCTACTAAAAATTATTGGTGGTCTGGAAGGGGTGTGAGGCAATTCTCATATAATGGTTTTAAGCAAGTCTTCCCTTGCAGGGGCATCAGATTCTTTTTAGTTATTTATTTTAACCAAGACCCAAACCTGCTTTCAGTGGCTCTTACTTACACGAGCTATTTATAAAATATTTGTTCTTTGATTTTGGTATCTGTGAAATGGGGATGAAATAAAGAACCAAATAACCTCACATGAGATTGTGTTCAGTTCAATTCAACAAATTTTTATAGTATACCTATTAAACATCAGAAGGTGTGCTGATACCATAAATAAAAATATTTATAAATGGTGTGAAGAAGTATTGTATAAATACAGGGTGTGATTTATTTTTTTTTTAGAGATAGGGTCTTGCTCTGTTGCCCAGGTTGGACTTGAATTCTTGAATTCTGGGCTCAAGCAATCTTTATGTCTCAGCCTCCTGAGTAGCTGGACTACAGGCACACACTACCATGCCTGGCTAAGATGCTATTTTTTTTTTTTTTTGAGTTGGAGTCTCACTCTGAATGGTATCTTACAGCTCCCACTTATTAAACATCTAGTTTAATGGAATGCAGACTGGACTACTCCCGGCCACTGAAACCTCGACCTGCTGGGACTCCAGCGATCCTTCCGCCTCAGCCTTCCAAGTAGCTGGAATTACAGGCGTGCGCTACCACGCCCAGCTAATTTTTTGATTTATTGTAGAGATGAGGTCTCACCAAGTTGCCCGGGCGGGTCTTGAACCTGTGGGCTCAGGCAATCCACTCACCTCAGTCTCCCAAGGCGTGGGATTACAGGCTGAGCCACCGAGCCCGGCTGCTATTTTTGACTTAATATAAATAATATCAAAATTATAACAATAATTCTTTATATTTTCTCCACATTTTTCCATATTGATTTGCTAATTTTCATACATGAGAAACTGAGGCTCAGATAGGTCAAGTGGTTTGCTTGAGGTCACACACTAAGTGACTCCATTGTTCTCTTTATTGCCCCACACTGCCTTTCCAGGAAACTACACACCAGAGATTCCAACCTATTTATTTATTCAAGAGTAATATTAATATCTTAGATTTCACATAGTTCGAAGGAGTCCCCTTGAACAGCAAGTGAGATTGTATTCCCAAAGCAATTTGCTCCATCATTTTCAGATTTTATTATTTGTGTATTTACAACTTCAGGAACTTTCATATATGTTGTGTCATTCATCCTCACAACCCTAAAATCATACCACTAGTAAATGGTAGAGCCGGGGGAGGCTGGATGCTCCTGATGTCTGAGACCTATTTATTTCACCATTCTATTCTGCTTTGGTTATTAGTTGTATAACCTTGGGCAAATCACTTAGTCTTTGTGACCCTGAGTTACCTTATTTGTGAAGTGAGTATGATTACTTCCTTTTAGAGTTGTGAAGCTCAAATGTGGTAATGTCAAATAAAAAATGCCATAGAAACATCAGTTGTGGTTATAGCTGATAAATGTATCAAAATGGAGGACTTTAAAACAGTATCTCTCCTTCTCCCTTGAGTTAAAAAGAGTAACAGCAGAAAGAGGCCAAAGAAGACATTCTTAATAAGTGGTTGCTCATCAAACCTGTATGGCTTGCTCTCCATGGCAGTACCTTGTTAGAAGGGTTCTGAGTAGTCATAGTTACTTAAGGGCATTTCTGGGATGGTTTGCCTGTGGTGGCAAAAGTCTAAAAACAAGTGGGGCTAACTCCAGCCTGGGTCTTGTTCAGTTGTCCCTCCTAGTGCACCAAATGGAGACTGCCATGATAATGGCAATGGGTGTGAGCCTGATAGAGCTGTGGTTTGTTGTCACGAGAAGCCACCATGACTGAGAAAATAAGATCAACTCTGGGCAAATATATATATATATATATATACATATATATTTTTGTTGTTTTGAATCAGGGTCCTACTCTGCTGCCCAGGCTGGAGTACAGTGGCATGATCATGGCTCAATGAAGCTTTGAACTCCTGGGCTCAGGCGATCCCTTCCTTCCACCTCAGCCTCCTGAATAGCTGGGATTCCAGGTGCATGCCACTACATATAGCTAATTTTTTGTTTTAAATAAAGACAAGGTCTCACTATGTTGCCTAAGCTGGTCTTGAACTCCTGGCCTCAAGCAATCCTCCCGCCTTGGTCTCCCAAATAGCTGGGACTACCAGTGTGAGCCACCACTTCTGGTCAAGTACATTTTTTGAGGCCTACTGTGTAATAGACTAAACTGTGAGGGACTGACTCCCATGTAGTCGTAAGTCAGCTCGTTGTCCTCAGAGACGGTACAATCTAGTGAAGGGCAGATAAGTCCTTAATTTAAACTGAAAAACAAGGCAGAGTATAATAAAGGTCACATCAAAACAACTTAGAGGTGGGGTGTGGAGTTCCTAGAAGGTTTCTTGAAGTAGATGGCATAACAGCTAAGCCTTTGCAGATGAGAATTTCAAGTAACTGGTTGGTTATTCCGACAGAAGGTTGGCAGCATCAGAATGTGTAGGATGTGCTATGTTTAATACAGGCAGGAACTAAGACTTTTACTGAGCACCCACTGCAATGCTAGGGTTTAAAGAATAGAAATATGTTAAAAACAGCCCTTGCCATTGAGGAGCTCTTACTCTAGAGGTGCAGACAGGTGTAAACTGTCATTAGGGTGATGATGACTTCATAAGGTAGAGAAGAGAGGTTAAAAAGGAGAGAAGATACTTTGCAAAGAAGGTGAATGACACTTGAGTTGTGTCCTGAGCAGGTCTCAGTGTTCTTTTGTTGAACAATCTAAGTGTGACAGGTAGCAGGCAAGAAAAAGTATTCCTTCCCCCTCCCCTGCAGATTTTGGCTCAGGAAGGAATGACTTAGAAGTCTTCTTTTCCAATATAATAGCAGATGGTTAAATAAAAGTTTTTAGAGTCAGACTTGGATTCTAGCTATCTAATCAGTTCTGGATTCGAATCCAGCTATCAGATGAGCTGTATGACCTTTGACAAGACACTTACCTGTGTTTCAGTTCCCTTATTCATACTATTTAACAGTCTAACACAGAGCCTGGTATGTATAAAGTGCTGTTATTTTCTTTTTTTGAGTCAGAGTTTCACTCCGTCGCCCAGGTCTGAAGTGCAGCGGCCGGATTACGGCTGCCGCAGCTTCGACCGGCTGAGTTCAAGCGATGCTTCCGCCTCAGCCTCCCGGGTAGCTGGGAGGCATGAAACATCACGCCCGGGTAATTTTTTTGATTTTACTGTAGAGACGAGATCTCGCCATATTGCCCAGGCTGGTCTCGAACTGGTCTCCCAAAGTGCTGGGATTACAGGCTTGAGTCACCTAGTCTGGCCTATTTTCTCTCATCTCATTTAGTCCACACAAGCAACCTGGACTGTGGGCATAAGTAATTTCTCCCATTTTTCAGAAGCAGAAACACAGAGTAGGTAGGTGACCTGCTGAAAGTTCGCTGGCCAATCTGGAGCCGCCTCCGAAGCCGGTCCGCCTTACTTTTACGTCCGCGCCGGGTTTTTCCAGGTGGCCCCGGGGGCAGGCTCTGGTCCGGCGGCCTGAAGTCCGGTGCCAGGGTTTGGGCGCCGCCGCGGCCTGCTCCGGCGGGCGGGCGGGCAGGCGGGCGGGCGGGCAGGCGGGCGGGGCCCCGCGGGGCGGGGCGGCGTGAGGAGGGAAGTTGCCGAAGTTCGGGGCGACGCCCGCCCGCCGCCCGCCCGGGCCTCGCCTACGGCCGCTCCCTCCGCCCCCTCCCCGCCCCGAGCCCCC